ACATATATTGTCTTTTTAAAAAAGGAATGCATAGTATTGTGGTTTTTGTAACTATAAGGTTTTTTTTGGTTTTTTTTTGTTTGTTTGTTTGTTTACGAATCTCTTATTGAAGGACATTTAAATTGCTTTCAGTTCTTTGCCATTATACACATTCAGGTCTTTATTATTACAAAAAATACTAATAAATATTTTTATAAACATAGTCGTGTCTTGTTCAGTTTTTGCCCAAGAATTAATCCTCAGAAGTCAAATTGCTATGTGAATGGATATGCACCTTTTAATCAGTTTAATCGTAAGTCATTCAAGGAAACTGCATAAAATCTCCTTAAAAGAAAATGAAATTTACAGTTTGGTACTCATTTTTATTTGTTTTTCTCCAGCAGAAAGTAATTTCTATAAGAGTGGGAACTTTATCTGTCTTGATTATCACCATTTCCACCATTCAGATCAGGCATTCAATGTATATTTGTTGCAACAACACTAATAGGGAACATTTATTATGTGTCCAGCACTGTTCTAAGGGAATTAATTCAGTTTTTCCTGGCAACAGCTCTACAAGGTAGATAATATGACTTTGTCCATTTTGCAGATGAAGAAACTGCAGGTAGAGAGGTTAGGTACTTGCCTAGTTTCACACAGCTAATGAATAGTGGAGCCAGGAATCAGGCAGTTTTCCTTCACTTTACAGGTACCCACTATGCTGTCCTGGGTCTCTTATAAATGAATACAGGAATGAATGGTCAAAATGACCATTTAAAAATGAAAATTAGAGGGAACAGACTGCCTGCTTTGTAAGGGCCAAATTAGTTTTATGGTCCTCTGGACTAGGCTGTACTTAACTACCTACTAATATTCCTCCCAGAATTCATATCTATATGGTTAAAAATCATTCTTACCTGAAGATTTTATGGATATGTAAACAGAACATTTGATTTGTATGACAGATAAAATAGTAAATCTGGGCCTGCAGCTTGAGTCTAGGAGGCAGAACTTTTATTACTTTATGAACATATTCTGTTCCCCACCTGGGTTCCTTTGCTCCTGCCATTTCCCTGTACCGGGAATGCTCATTGTCCACCTCCCACAGTGGAAACTCTGCCTTCCAGGGCTTGCTCAATAGCCACCTCTTCCACTGAATACTGCTTTTACCCTTCTTTTTTTCTTGCCCTCCTTTTGAAGATTCTTTCCGTCTTCAAAATTCTGAGTCTCTTTTTATAGTACTCATGTAGAATACTACATTCCAAATATACCTTATGTTACTGTGTAAAGTTCTCATCTCCCTTAATAGACTATATTCTTTTTTAGTTTTATTCATTTTATAAAACTCCAGTATGTATTACAATATTTTGTACGAAGTATTGAAACTAAGGGTTTTTTTTTTTTTTTTTTTTGGATGACTGAAAGAATTATCTCAGTGAAATATATTTAAAAATTTTAAATCCTAAATAAGAATATTAATACAATTTGATTATTGTATATTCCACATTATCAGGAATTACAAAATACTCCTGGTTTTTTTTTTTTCACATGATGATTGGTATTTTGTCTTTAGCTTATAAGTCATCCAGAAACAAGAAGCATAATTAGCTTTCACTTTTATAAGACCTTTTGTTCTATTCATGGCTACAAATACCAACTTTGCTTGTACCCACAACTTTAATTACCTTTTCTTTAAGTGGGTGGTTTAGGGACATCAGAGGTCATTAAAATCAAAGAGATAAGTGGAATTTTTTTTTCAAAGGCTAGTGCTTAAGGGTGTGTTCCTGTTAGAGAATTTTAATACTAAATGTGTTTTCAAGTGTTTGTGTGATATCAAATCTCCTTGCCAACTGGAAGAGGGACTGTCCTTGAATCCTGTTCTGAATGATATATTAAAACATAATCCCTTCTTCATATATATATATATATATATATATTTAAAGAACTTCAGGGAATGTGAAGTATTGTCGTTTGACAGGATTATACTTTGTTGCTAACAAAGGTAATAGCATAGCCTTCAGGCCAATTGTCTCTTCCTCCTTAAGGAGTTCTTTCCTTTACCCACAGGATAAGGACAAAGCTGAAGGTTTTTGTTTCTGAAAGGTCAACCAGCAAGCCAAAGAGAAAGTTCAAACAAATATTATCAGTCTTTTAAAAATGTCATTGCTTATGTAAATGAGCTGGTCCTTGACTACTGGTAAGCCTCAAGCATCCTTGAATTGGTTGGATGTTAAGTTGGGTTTTATTTATATTTGATATACAGTATGCTTCCTATGTAGAAAGCACTGATCATGAAGAATCTCACTTCATTTAAGGTTAGTGCTTTTTTATTTGTTTTGGTTCTAGGTTGTTGTTTTGTTTTGTTTTGTTTTGTTTTGTTTTGTTTTGTTTTAGATTAGCTTCACTATCTTGTGATTTTCAGAGGCTGAGGTATTTTCAGAGACTGTGGAGAATTTTGATATGATTTTTCCTTAGTTTTTCTTTTACTGTTACACATCTCATCAAATTCGTTTGAGATTCTTGGAACCATGTTTATAGTTACTGATTAAAATAAAATTTTATCTCTTTCTTTGGAAGTACAGTATTTTTATATTGTGAATTATACAGTTTTAATTTATGCCTTCAGGCTAAAATTTGCAGGTTTGATACACAGTCTTAAATGTATTCAGAACAATAAAGTCAAAGATGAATATTTTCAAGTTTAGCCTAATTGAGTCCTCTTATAAAACGTTGAGCTGTCACACTAGGTCTTCGTGGCCTCTCGTTTGTATTAATGTGGTGTTCTTGATCATAACTTTTGTAGATAAAATTCATTTGGGGGCAGCTAAGAGTCTCCCTACTCTTTCTAATTCTGTTGTAAAACTCCAAACTTTAGGAAAGAATATCTTTAGGGAGGTATGCCTTAAAAGTACAAAATTGTTATTTTGCATATTAGATGCAGGATTTTTAAATGGGCATTTACATCTTGTGTATCATGTTAGCTGCTGCGTTTTCACTTGTTTTAAAATAATTCTGAGAACTTGGGCAATTCTGTGATGATCCTTGGGAGTTCTTGGTAGGAGGTATCTTTCCTCTTAGATCTGTAGCTCTGTGATGTATGTACATAAACATGCCTTTGTTCTCAAAGTCTTTTTCTATCTGATTACTGTGGTATCCAAGTACTTTGTCTTTGCCTGTTTTCATTTTGTTTTGTTTTGTTGTTTTTCCTTGTGCCTTAGCCGGTCATTTGTGTGATGTCTACATTCAGCAGAGGTACTAAGACCATTTTTGATGAGAGAAAGGAGGGATAGAGGAAGTAAGGAGAAATTCAGAGTGGGGTGGCTGTGAGGGATAAATGTAGGGAAGAAAGGCTGTGAGTGGGTGCGAGGGAGGAAGAGGAAGCAACGGCGGAACAGGGTCTCTACAGGGGCTACGCCGTTGGGGGTGCATGAAATCTTGGGGGCCGCTCGTGGGGGCAGGAGCTCAACAGACCAGCATTTTCCCCAGGCTTGGGCGCAAGCTTGTGAAACTACTAATGTATTAAAGAACCTCAACTGGGATTTGCCGAGGACAAATGCTGTAACGTGTTAGTCATCCATTATCTGCTTCTATTTTTGCAGGTTCTGAATGATGACTGGCGCGCGTCTGGGTGATGCCCCCCACAGTCCCTGTCATTCCGGAGTGATAAGGCACCCGCGCGCCTAGCCCCAGCGCCAGGGCACGCGAGCGGCGCTGGAGGGAGCCACGCTTCCGCCTGCGGGCCGGACAAAAGTCCCGCCTGCCCACGGCGTCTGCCCGCCGCTCGTGACCGAGACGCCTCGCGCGGCCAGCTCGCTGCTCTCACGCGCGGATGGTGTGTGGCCGCCGCAGGACGCGCGCCGCGCCCGGGCCATGAAGTAGCGGCTGCTGGCGGCGCCGCTGCCCGACCGCCCGCCCCAGCCCCGCGCTGCGCTGCCGGGTCCTCTCCCGGCGGGGCCGGAGCGGCGTGGACATGGCTGGCCGCGTCCCCAGCCTGCTAGTTCTCCTCCTCGTTTTTCCAAGCAGCTGTCTGGCTTTCCGAAGCCCACTTTCTGTCTTTAAGAGGTGGGTGTTCGTGGTCGGGGTGGTTTCTGTGCATGCTGCTGAGAAATGTAATCACTTTTATGAACCGGAGTGTTGGCAAAATAGACGACGTTGATGTTCTTTGCGAGAATGACTTGGAATTTTAGTACAGCAACTTCTTGTGAAGTCCCCCGTGCAGAAAAATCCCACTGTATTGTAGCCAAGCAGTTCTGGCTTTCAAAACTCCAATTAGAAGTTGTGATTTCCAATACTAATCACTCCCTCTTGGGGAAGTATTTCAGGAACTACAATGTAGTGGCTTAGATTTGAATGCCTTCTTGTTTATAATAGCTCGAAGGATAAAATATAAAGATACATCAGTGTCGAGGAGAAGCAGAGCATAGACTGTAATAGCTCACAAGGAAACATTAAGCTGTATACAAACGCCTCATAATTACCTTATTAAATATTTATGTACTTGTACATTTGTAATTCACATTGCAGTCTTTTATTTCTTCCTCTTAACAGCTCTGCCTCCTAGCATGATTATGGTTGGCTTTGTTGTTTCTAACTAGTAATTCTGAACACCGAAAATAGTTACAAAAATTTTTACTGGATTATCGTTAATATTTCTGCCATTAGAAAATTGGCATGCCTGTGATAATTTGTCATGTATTAATACTGTATCTTCATTAACTTGAAACAAATATATGTTTTGACAAGTTTTTGTTGAATGGAGTTTTAAACTAGCCTGCTTGGTTGCATTGGTTATATTTTGTTTACAAATTAGGTATATATTGTTGTTGGACTATGAAATGCAAATCTGAGTATGTTTAAGAACATTGTGTAGTCATCACATCTTTAGAGTTTTCAATGGGTTTAAATCAATCGTCCGTAAGGTCATAGAATTCCTTTCTTTCCCCTCCTCATGTTAAGTTTAGATTGCATTATGTTCAAGAATATTGAAATTGTCTTCCTTTTTTCAAGGTTTAAAGAAACTACCAGACCGTTGTCCAATGAATGTCTTGGTACCACCAGACCTGTAATTCCTATTGATTCATCAGATTTTGCATTGGATATTCGCATGCCTGGGGTCACACCTAAACAGGTGAGAGCAATTCTGTATTTCATTATTCACTTGTTCTGGATAGTCTATAATTAAGGTAAGGAAACTGCATTTAAGCTGTAGGAGCTTCTTTAAACATGGGCATTTGCTTTCAAGACTCCAGCTAAGGCTAGAATAATTGAATATTACAAAGAGGATTAAGTTTTTCAAGGTGAATCTTTCACTTAAATTTTGTTTTTAAAATTTTTACTGATATTGTCATTTGTGATTTGAAATGGAATGTCAAAAATTTACATTTTGAGATTCTCTATGGAGTAATAGCCTCTGTAATGCAGCATGCAAGTATGCATTAAAATACAAAAAATTATCCTAATAAAGGAAAATGATATTGAGCAGCTGCATCTAAGCGTCTTTGTTTAGATATCCTTCTATTACAACCACAAGTGAAGAAATAAAAATGTGTTTACTGCCAAGAATTTGTAAAACAATACATTCCACACTTGTAAAAGTTAAGAAAACCGTTCATACAGGTGTCTGATTGTGAGTTTTCTTTAGCCTGACTTGCTCGTTATAAGAGATGTACTTTTGAAATAATGGCAAAACTCATATAAATGTGACTTATAGAGCATTTCGAGTAGAACTAAGTTGTTGCTAGGGCTTTCCCTCTTTTAGGAACACACAAGAAGCTCAAAACTACTGCTGTCATGTGTGCAAGGTGTTTCATTAAGCATTAAAAGGCCAGAATTAATTATGCTTTGCAGCTAGGCAGTTCAGGGATTTATGTGTGTCATTAAAAGATAGTCCTCTCCTTTTGAAGGGCTGCAGAGACAGGGAAAGATCTGAATATTGTGGAGCTGCAGTAGCTGATGACTCATTGTTGCAGATAACATTCTATTTTTCTTTTCTTTTTTTTTTTTTTTTTTTATTTTCAGTACTAGGGAAACAAAGGTATTCACATTCTACTTTTTGGGCAGAATTCCCTTTGCAATTGACATCCCTAAGCTCTAGAGAATACACACATGCCTTTTTTGGGGGTCTAAGAATTGGCATTCATTTATTTGAAGACCTGCATATGATTATCTATAAATAACTACCACTATAAAAATGACTTTCACTCCCTCCTCATCACCAAATGATCATGCAGATGACTTTCCATGCATTCAGTTGTTACTGTGCTAGCTTTTAATTTCATAAGCTTTTTATTTAGTATTTAACCGCAAGAAGTGAAATGAGATTGAGACTAGGAGAGAAGAACAACAGTTGCTCACTTGTGAAGTGTGTCTCTTGTCTCTTCTCACTTTTAAAAGTGGGTTTCCCCCTATATTTGCTTGAACTGAGTGTATTTCTTTTAAGGTATCCACTAATTGGGTTTTTAAGCACTCGTTTCCAACAAGAATATCATTATTTTATCAAATAGTTTTTGTTGTAATTCACTATTACTGTTATTCATTATTTAAGAGTAATAACATTTAAATTACTTAACAATAATAATGGGCAACTGTGATGAGATCAAAAACCTCAGAAAGAGATCCTAGAAGAATTGATTATAAAAGGCTGTGGAGGAACCCCATTTTCATAAAGTAAAATGTGTTCATTTTTATAATCTTATATAATTATCCAAATAAATCCATGGGGAAAGAACATACATTGTTTAGATAACCGCTTTTTATTTTGCACTATCTATAGTCACCTTTGCCTCATGCAGTGCACATTTGCTGGTTGCCTTTCCAGCAAGTAGCTAGTTGCCTCCTGGCCCCTTCTCTGAGACCGTGTGGTTCCCAAGAGCTTCCTATCCGGGCTCCAGAAATGGAACACATGGATCATGATTGGTAATTGACTATATCCCGCCTCTCTTTCCACAATGATTGGTTCAAAAGAAAGTGTGTGATTTAGACCATTCAAATCTTAGGACTTTTGCTGAGTATGTATTTTTTTCTGTTTCATGTAAGCAACAGGCTTGTAGTGCTAGGGTCTGCTGAGTTCTAGGAACCATGCCTAGAATAAAACTAACACCATAGGGGGCAATGCAGAGAGATTGAAAGAATGTACATGCTTGGTGATATCACTACTTACGCAGTGTTCAGTTTGTTAGCCTTTCTTGTTTCAATAAGGTTGAGTTGGGTTTTGTCTTACTTGCCACTGTAGCTACTGGGTAAATGATTCAGTTACTCTGCCTGACAGCTCAGAACTGCTTGTTGAATATTTCTTCCACTTTTTTCCCATCACTCTCTATCCACCATGTGCCATGAGTATTTAATTTGGTTCAGCTGACATGCAGATCTTATACTTTGTAAACTTTTATGAGAAATGGTAGAGTCTCCATTGAATATACCCAGGAAGAAGGGAACACAGAACCTTCAGAACCTCTTTCCTTCTGTACTTGGTGTTCTAGTGAAGAAGACGAAGAGCTGTGATGCCGTAAGTACTGTTGAAGAAAGTATTCTTTTCTTAAAATGAAGATAAAACCAAAGTTTTACACAAGTCATTAAGAGGAAAGGAGATTTTTTTAAAAAGGAAGAAAGAACAATGAAAAAGTATTAGAGGGAAGAAACAAAAGGTAGAATGAAACAAAGAGTTGGCCAAAAAACAAAGTGTAAAAAGATCCAAGAAAACAGAATGATCAGGAGCAAAAAGAAAAAGAAGAAATTCAGGAATAACTAGACTATGAAGATCGAACATTTAAAAATCATAAAAGATAAGGAAGATGAAGGAAAATGTAAAAACAAAGAAGGGCATTGAGGAGTTAAATGGCAGAGGATTTTTTTTTTTTTTTTTTTTTTTGATGGCAGACAATCAAGAACAACAACATTTAAAGAAGGATCAGAGGAACAAGAACTTGAGTTGCGAATTGAGAGACATCATGTTGATTAAAGAAATGTGTTCATTCCACACAGGTTTTTTTTTTAATAAAGTACATCTTTAGTTTCGGTAATAATGAAAGCTACATCAGTAAATCTGATGTGTATCTTTTCTTTGGAAACATTGAGATTGTTAGATAGGCTTGGATAGAGAAACAGCAGATGTAGAACAGTGGTGGAAAGAACCTGAGACACAATACAGATAGTGCAACTAACTAATTTTATCAGATGGAATACAAGCCTAGATTAGTGTCTTATCAAGGATGCCCAGGCATGCCAGGCCTCTGAGTTGCCATTCTGCCATACCACAGGACTTTAAAGTGGCAATTAAAAATTTCTCCCGGGCCGGGCGCGGTGGCTCAAGCCTGTAATCCCAGCACTGTGGGAGGCCGAGGCGGGTGGATCACGAGGTCAAGAGATCAAGACCATCCTGGTCAACATGGTGAAAACCCGTCTCTACTAAAAATACAAAACATTAGCTGGGCATGGTGGCGCGTGCCTGTAATCTCAGCTACTCGGGAGGTTGAGGCAGGAGAATTGCCTGAACCCAGGAGGCGGAGGTTGCGGTGAGCCGAGATCGCGCCATTGCACTCCAGCCTGGGTAACAAGAGCGAAACTCCGTCTCAAAAAAAAAAAAGAAAAAAAAATTTCTCCCGGGCCGGGCGCGGTGGCTCAAGCCTGTAATCCCAGCACTTTGGGAGGCCGAGGCGGGTGGATCACGAGGTCAAGAGATCGAGACCATCCTGGTCAACAGGGTGAAACCCCGTCTGTACTAAAAATACAAAAAAAAAAAATTAGCTGGGCATGGTGGCGCGTGCCTGTAATCCCAGCTACTCAGGAGACTGAGGCAGGAGAATTGCCTGAACCCAGGAGGCGGAGGTTGCGGTGAGCCGAGATCGCGCCATTGCACTCCAGCCTGGGTAACAAGAACGAAACTCCGTCTCAAAAAAAAAAAAAAAAAAAAAATTATCCCATTAAAACTAGATCCAATGAGTCCAGAAAAAGTGGTTTATTGTCTGTTGCAATATCAATTTTATAATCAAAATAAGCTCATTCTGTCTCTTCTCTGACTTAGAAAAATTTGATAATAGTTTCCGTCCTTTTTTAGAAATGGATTATCAGTGTTTAACTCTGTTAACTGGTGTTTTTCCAGCCTTTGGGAAGATTAGAGAGAAAAGTAGGCGACTTTTCAATAGTCTATCATAAAGTCAGAATCTGGTGTCCCATGGCACTGGCTTCAAATACAGCAGAGCCATGAAGTGGTAACATCTTGAGACTTCTCTTCTAGTGCTGTTTCTTTTTTTGACTCTTTTTCTCACCCAGGACCCTCTGGACTTTTGCTGTCACCAACTCTCATAGCAACAAACAAAACAATGTGATAAACTGCCAGTTTATGGTCATAGTATGGTGATATCAATTTGACATGTTAACTATCCCTTGGGTATTTTATTTTAAAATAAATAAAGGTATAATTACAGTGATTTTCCATAAAGTTTATTGCCTAAATGTAACTCAAATCCAGGGGTTAGAACAGAACCTGTGATGTTGGGGCCAGGCTAACAGCATTCTGGCTTGAGCTCTTGCAGTCTCAACTCAGATCTGTTTTTTAACCAGCTAGTCGTATTCCTTCATCTGTAGAAAGGATAATAATAGTTTATTATCCTACGTTAACCAGAGATGTTCTTAGGACTGAGTGACGTAATGTTGAATTGCCTTGCACACGGTAGAGAAAATGTATACTAATATAATTATTATGTGTGTTGAGGGAAATGTGAATGAATCTTGAGATTAGAAAGAAATTGCTAACCCTTAGGCTTTCAGCAATGGCTTCATGGAAGAGCTAAGACATTGCAATAATTGTGAAGGAGACGAAGGTGAAGAAAATGAAGAAAAATAGAAAGTACAAACCTAGGCAAGAGAAACCTGAATAAAGTACGCAAAGAAGTAAATCTTTCAGTGTCCTTAAGTATTTGTAAGTAGTTATTTTCATTAAAAATGGCCCTATCATAAGAGACGAAAGGAACACTGAGAATGGATATGCTTTTCTCAGAATTCTTATACTTCTTTATACTGCTTGGAAGAGAAGTTATTAAAAGAAGTATCATCGGTTTGAAACCTTTTATTTTATATATATGTTTGAAATAAGCCTTGACTTTTTTCAGTGTCTGCTTTAAGGACTTTATA